GCAGGTGCGTGTAGTCTTTAGTAGGTGCGTCTAGTTTTTAGCAGGTGCGTGTAGTCTTTAGCATGTGAGTAGTCTTTAGCCGGTGTGTGTAGTCTTTAGCATGTGTGTATAGTCTTTAACTGGTGAATGTTGTCTTTAGCAGGTGTGAGTAGATGTGTTAAAACCTACACCTGTTAAAGACTACACACACATGTTAAGGCTACATTTTCTATTTCAATTTGTTTTAACCTCTAAAGGGATTTAAACAACAGCTAAGTTCATAGCAAAAACCAACGCAGACCACTTCCTCTTTTTAGCATTTTACATCGCTATATAATGTAGCTGTTTTCTATTCATTTTTATATCATTTCTGCTATTTACTTTTTCATTTTATGTTTTCATACGATTGTCTAATGTTGTCCTTCCCATGGGCTCCCCACCTGTGGGAGGGGCCAAAGGGGTCTGGTGCAATGTGGGATAGGTGGTGGCCGAGGTCGAGGACCCTGGCGGTCTGATCCTCGGCTACAGAAGCTAGCTATTGGGACGTGGAATGTCACCTCACTGGTGGGGAAAGAGCCTGAGCTGGTGTGTGAGGCTGAGAGGTTCTGGCTAGAAATAGTCGGACTCACCTCTACGCATAGGTCTGGTTCTGGAACCAGTTTCTTTGAGAGGGGTTGGACACTTCCACTCTGGAGTTGCCCCTGGTGAGAGGCGCCGAGCAGGATTGGGCATACTTATTGCCCCCCATCTTGGTGTCTGTGTGTTGGGGTTCACCCCGGTGAATGAGAGGGTAGCCTCCCTCTGCCTACATGTGGGGGGGACTCCCTTGTTCTGCTGGGGGACTTCAATGCTCACGTGGGCAATGACAGTGAGACCTGGAGGGGTGTGGTTGGGAGGAACGGCCCCCCTGATATGAACCCGAGTGGTGTTCTGTTGTTGGACTTCTGTGCTCGTCATGGATTGTCTATAACAATTCAATTCAATTCAAAAATACTTTATTAATCCCAGAGGGAAATTATTTGTTGTTGTAGCTTGTTCTCCTCATTTCATTAAGATGTTATAGATGCTGATGGTTGTAGGCAGGAAGGATCTCTTGTAAAGGTTCATTCCACAGTGGATCCTAAGAAACTGGCTGCAGATGCCGTCCGATCCGTCCACCTTGACTCGGCTGGCCTCTTGGTTCCCCGGGCTGTAGGACCTCCTGAATGCCGGGCAGAACTCCTCCCAGAGCGATGGCCACTCCTCCCAGCAGTCTGCTGAGCTCCTCGTCACTGCGGACAGCCGGCTGTAGGTGCCGAGGGACAATCCTGTCCTTCCGCTGTCATGAGCTGTGTTTCCTGCTAGTTTCAGGATCTCAGTGGTCAGGCACTCAAGCACAGCTGGCAGGTAGATGAGAATGCATCCACAGAACATCCTTTCAACTCATTTGAGATTTGGGGCTATAGTTGAGATATTATTTGAGCTTTTGAGATGTTAATCAGCTGCTGTTGGTTGTAGAAAACTGCCTTGTTGCCATAGTTACACATCATAACAAATGTCCAAAACTAAAAAAGTTTCAGTAAAAATCCTTCCAGCTGCACAGCATCCGATACCAGAGGAAACAATCATCCAAAAAAATGTGATTTACATCGAGAAAAAGAGAAATTAAAGTTTCCAAAAGCAAATCTCAGAATGAAAGTCACAGAGTTGCTCCAACATGCAGCCACCTTGAGCGGCGCAATTCTAGAACTATTCTAGAACAAGCACCATGTTCAAGCATAAGGGTGTCCATATGTGTTCTTGGCACCAGGACACCTTAGGCCGCAGTTCGATGATCGACTTTGTCGTCGTCTCATCTGATTTGCGGCCACATGTCTTGGACACTCTGGTGAAGAGAGGGGCGGAGCTGTCCACTGATCACTACCTGGTGGTGAGTTGGCTCCGATGGTGGGGGAGGATGCAGGTCAGACCTGGCAGGCCCAAACGTATTGTGAGGGTTTGCTGTGAACGTCTGGCAGAGTTTCCTGTGAGACGGAGCTTTAACTCCCACCTCCGGGAGAACTTCGAACATGTTCCGGTGGAGGTAGTAGGGGACATTGAGTCCGAGTGGGCCATGTTCTGTGCCTCTATTGTCGAGGTGGCTTACCGGAGCTGCGGCCGCAAGGTTGTCGGTGTCTGTCGCGGTGGCAACCCTCGAACCCGGTGGTGGACACAGGCAGTGAGGGGTGCTGTCAGGCTGAAGGAGTCCTATTGGGCCTTATTGGTCTGTGGGACCCCAGAATCAGCTGATGGGTACCAGCAGTCCAAACGACATGCGACTCGTGTGGTCGCTGAGGCAAAAACTCGGGCATGGGGTGAGTTTGGAGAGGCCATGGAGAATGACTTCCGCACGTCTCAGGGGGGGAAAGCTGTACACCACCAACACTGTTTATAGTGGGAGTGGTGTGCTACTGACCTTAACTCGGGATGTCGTGGGTCGATGGGCGGAATACTTTGAAGACCTCCTCAATCCCACCGGCACGTCTTTCACTGAGGAAGCGGAGCCTGGGGACTCTGGGTTGGGCCCTCCAATCTTTGGTGCTGAGGTCACCGAGATGGTTAAAAAGCTCCTCGGTGGCTGGGCCCTAGTGGTGGATGAGATTCGCCCGGAGTTCCTTAAGGTTATGGATGTTGTAGGGTTGTGTTGGCTTACGCGACTCTGCAATATTGCGTGGACATCGGGGGAAGTTCCCCTGGATTGGCAGGCTGGAGTGGTGGTCCCCCTATTCAAAAAGGAGGACCATAAAGTGTGTTCCAACTACAGGGGGATCACGCTCTTAAGCCTTCCTGGTAAGATCTATTCGGGGGTTCTGGAGAGGAGGGTCCATCGGATAGTCGAACCTCGGATTCAAGAGGAGCAGTGCGGTTTTTGTCCTGGTCGTGGAACACTGGACCAGCTCTACACGCTCGGCAGGGTCCTGGAGGGTGCCTGGGAGTTTGCCCAACCGGTCTACATGTGCTTTGTGGACTTGGAGAAGGCGTTCGACCGCGTCGCTCGGGGAACCCTGTGGGGGTACTCTGGGAGTATGGGGTACCAGGCCCTTTGATATGGGCTGTTAGGTCCCTGTATGACCGGTGTTAGAGCCTGGTCCGCATTGCCAGCAGTAAGTCGGGCTCGTTCCCGGTGAGAGTTGGACTCCGCCAGGGTTGCCCTTTGTCACCGATTCTGTTCATAACTTTTATGGACAGAATTTCTAGGCGCAACCAATGTGTTGAGGGCATCCGTTTTGGTGGCCTTAGGATTGCGTCTCTGCTTTTTGCAGATGATGTAGTCCTGTTGGCTTCATCAGATCGTGATCTACAGCTTTCGCTGGAGCGGTTCACAGCCGAGTGCGACACAGCTGGGATGAAGATCAGTTCCTCCAAATCCGAGACCATGGTCTTGAGCCGGAAAAGGGTAGAGTGCCCTCTCCGGGTCAGGGAGGAGGTCCTGCCCCAAGTGGAGGAGTTCAAGTATCTCAGGGTCTTGTTCACGAATGAGGGGAAAAATGGAGCGTGAGCTCTATAGGCGGATAGGTGCAGCGTCTGCAGTGAAGCAGGCGCTGTACAGGTCTGTCGTGGTGAAGAGAGAGCTGAGTCAAAAGGCGAAGCTCTCAATTTACCGATCAATCTACGTTCCTACGCTCATCTATGGTCATGAGCTTTGGGCTGTGACCGAAAGAACAAGATCTTGGATACAAGCGGTCAAAATGAGTTTTCTCCGCAGGGTGTCTGGTCTCTCCCTTAGAGATAGGGTGAGAAGCTCGGTCATCCGGGAGGGACTCAGAGTAGAGCTGCTGCTTCTCCACGTCAAGAGGAGCCAGTTGAGGTGGCTCGGGCATCTGGTTAAGATGCCTCCTGGACGCTTCCCTGGTGAGGTTTTCCGGACACGTCCCACCGGGAGGAGACCCAGAGGAAGACCCAGGACACGCTGGAGGGACTATGTTTCTCGGCTGGCCTGAGAACACCTCGGGATTCCTTCGGAGGAGCTGGACCATGTGGCTGGGGAGAGGAAGTCTGGGCCTCCCTACTTAGGCTGCTACTCCCGCGACCCGACCCCGGATAAGCAGAAGAAAATGGATGGATGAATGTCTAATGTTGTCATTGTCATGAATAGACAATGAAACGATGAGTTAAAAATACTTTTTAATTTAATAATTTATTTAAACAAAATAATACGTGATCTAAACAAAAACAGCAGTAATGAGACACTATAAATGAAATGTTACCTACCAGCTCCTCCTGATGATTTTACAGTTAAATTAAGGTTGAATGGGGAAAAAAAGACTATACACACCTGTCAAAAGACTACATGCACCTGCACGCACCTGTTAAAAGAATACAAACACCTGTGAAAATATTATACACACCTGTTAAAAGACTGCACGCACGTGTTAAGACCACATACACCTGCACACACCTGATAAGACTATGCGCACCTGGTAAAGACTACATGCACCTGCACGCACATGTTAAAAACTGCAAGCACCTGTTGAAAGACTGTACACACCTGTTGATAGACTGCATGCACCTGTAATCTTTTTAACAGATGTGTGTAGTCCTTAGGTGTGAGTAGACGTGTGTGTGTGTGTGTGTGTGTGTGTGTGTGTGTGTGTGTGTGTGTGTAGTCTATCAACAGGTACATGTAATCTTTAACAGATCTTTAACAGGTGTGTGTCATTAACAGGTGGGTGTTGACTTGTTCTTTCCACTGTAGCTTCTTGTTGATGTGTTCCCATGTTCAGGTGATTCCACCTGCTGTGTATCTGAGGGTGACGGAGAATGTTCATCATATTGTTGCGTTCATTGAGAGGATCATCAAAAATGGACATGCCTACACTACAAAAGAAGGTGAACATGTAACTTCCTGTCTGTTCCAGTGATGACCGACAGTCAGCAGGTCAACTTTAGTGTTGTTGTTTGGTTGCAGGTGATGTATACTTTGACATCCAGTCTATCGGTGACAGATACGGGAAGTTTGTTGGGGCTTCTGGTCCTCCAGTAGAGCAAAGTAAGTGTTCATCAGAAGGATCTATTGTTGGTTCACATATCTTCCTTGACATTTTTATATTTTTCCACTGAAGACTTGTGCTATTATTCAAAAACAAACTGTTTGGTTCTCCAGGCAGCTCGGATAAACGAGATCCAAGGGATTTTGCTTTGTGGAAGCACTCCAAACCTCAGGAGCCATACTGGGAGTCTCCATGGGGCAGAGGGAGACCTGGCTGGCACATTGAATGCTCCACTATTGCTAGGTTAGATTTATCACAACCACTCTGCTCTCTGGAGACTTACACCGTGCATGTAAGGGTTTCCCTTACATGGTTGGGATCATTGTCCCGTTGGACCAGTTTGGTCCAAGCTTCAGCTGATGGACAGATGGACTCACATTTGAGTCCAGAATCCTTTGGTCTACAGAGTACATGATCATCTTAATGCAAGGAGCCAAATCCACCAGCCCTCCACCACTGTGCTGAGAGCATGTACGTTTTGTCTGAAACGCTGTTGGTTTTGTCCAGGCCTGTCATTGTGCACGGTGGATAAGCGTCCCGTTTTGGTTTCACGTGGCCAAAGCACATTGCTCCAAAAGTCTTGAGGTTCATTAAGACGAAACTGTACAGGTTTAAGTCTTGCTGCTATGTTCTCTTTAGGGACAGGAGGCTCAATCATACTTGATCACTCATCAAAGTTATTATTCATGGACAGACCAAACGCCTTCTTGAAAAATGTTATGAACAAATGAGACAAAATTTAAGCTTTTTGGCAACATTGACAAGAAGAATCAAGGAGAGGCTTTCAGTCTGAAAAACACGGCATCAGCTGTCAAGCACGGTGGTGGTCGCATCATGATGTGGGTGGTGTGCTTCACAAAGTAGATGGAATAAAAAAGGAGGGCTACTTCCAAATTCTTCTTCACCTTTACCTCAAATCACCAAGAAGCTTGGACACGTTCAGGTGTTCCAACAGGACAACCATCCATCCATCCATCCATCCATTAATTAAAAAAAAATGAAGAGTAGCAGAATGGTAGATTAAAAACAGCAAAAGGCTAACAATAAGCTAAAAGTTACAAAAAGCTAGTTAAAAAGTAAAACTAGAAGAATGATGAGTAAAAGCTAAAAGTAGCAGAAGCAACATTCAGTCTTTATGAATATTTCTTTTTAATTGTTTTAATCATCTGCAAATGGAAGACCGCCGCGGCTTCCTGACACATCTGGGCAGAAACTTGTGCCATCACGAACTGAATCTGTGTTCAGTAATTTCAAGTTGAATCCACTGGTTTGGAAATGAATTTCACTAAACTGAAACTGGATTTGGTTGTTGAAAATTCACTTTGACTAATTTCATCTTCTAGAATTCAGTTTGTTGTCACATCTGGATCCTTGAGAAAGGATCTGTCTGGATTAGAGAGGACCTTTATTTTCCTCGACTGGAATGAATCAGCCTGACTTTGACTGTGAGGATGGATCATTTGAAACCAGTGGCGATCTCTGCACCTCTGAAAAATAAAGAAACCATCGTTAGGATTTTGTAAGGAAGCTCTCAAACCTTAGCTTCAACAAAATATTGAATTTGTAATAAATGATGACAATCTTAAACGAGCCAGAAAAATCTTTTTTTTTTTTTTTTTTTTTTTTTTTTGCACGAGTCGGCTCCTCAACTCCACCTGTCAATCAGTCCAGTAGGCGTGTCAGCAACTGACCAATCAGCAACCTCAATTTGTCCCAAAGGTAAACACCCCTTACCTGTAGGAGCTCCACCCCCTTTTCCTCCAACAACATTGTCTGGATTTTGCGTTCAGAGGGTAATGGTTAAAGCTAGTTGTGTTGTGTTTGTTGTTTTTTGTGTTTTGTTTTGTTGTGTGTTTTGTTTTATTGTGCTTTGTGTTGTTTTTTGTGTTTTGTTTTGTTGTGTGTTTTGTTTTATTGTGCTTTGTGTTGTTTTTTGTTTAGTGTTGTGTTGTTTTGTTGTGTTGTTTTGTTGTGTGTTGTTGTGTTTTGTGTTGTGTTGTGTGGTGTTGTGTTTTGTTGTTTTGTGTTGTGTTGTTTTGTTGCATTTTGTGTTGTGTTATGTTGTGTGTTTTGTTTTGTTGTGTGTTGTGTATTGTTGTGTTGTTTTGTTGTGTTGTTTTGTTGTGTGTTGTTGTGTTTTGTGTTGTGTTGTGTGGTGTTGTGTTTTGTTGTTTTGTGTTGTGTTGTTTTGTTGCATTTTGTGTTGTGTTATGTTGTGTGTTTTTGTTTTGTTGTGTGTTGTGTATTGTTGTGTTGTGTTGTTTTGTTG